CGAAATTCCAAATGAATTTAGGTGTAAATCGCGGACTGTTTTTGGCGGACGAATGGATCCCTCGCAGCTTCGAGAATTGAAGAGGGTTTTTCCATGGCCAAAAGTGGTTCTGCAAACATTTTGCGAGAGTCTGTCCGGTAACGATTGTGAATTCCCATCTGGAGGGTTAGCGGGTGACACAATGAATGAATTATCTCGAATGCACGCAGAGTTTTAGTTCACTCACGGCGAGACTTTACGGAATTATTTTGTCTCCGTAACCGTCTCTCCGTGTGGCATGATTCGTAGCAGCCTAATGACACGTGTACCTACTAGAACTACACAGATCTCTTACTAGGTATCAACACGTTGTTATCGCCTATTTTACTGAATAGTTCATAGTGAAATCAATCAGCTGACTCCAGTTTTATCCTGTGAATCAAGTGCGAGTGTTAGGTATAAACTCAACAAACTTATCGATTTTCGATAAATCTATTATTTGTATAGTGGTACACGACCAGTTTCGTGCGGTCTCCCGCGCCTAACGAATGTCCAGCAGGTACTTACTATTCTGTCACTTGTGTGCTGTATGCATATTCATGCCATGGGTGGAAAGCGGCATTGATACATACCTAATGAGGGACAAAGTTCACGAAAGCGACTGTATGCCCCCAGAGAAATTCGATTTAATCACTGGGATACTTACCACCAGTCGCTAAACCACAGAACGTGCAATCCTGTAACTGGATCAACAGATGGTCTTTTCGACATAACAGCTCTGGTGAAACGCCATCCACCTTCCGAGGCCAATTACGCATTTAGTCTTCTCAACAGTGATTAATGAATTCGATTTCGTATTTGAGAACAAGTTCGGATCACCCGAATAGCATAACATTGATTACCGCTCTCTGATGTGTTGCAAAAAAACAATAATTATAATTGTATGCACAGCCATGTGACTGGCTCCAAAGATGGACTTGACAAAACAGCTAATCAGTTTCATTGGTTGTTTGGGAGTGAACACCTGTTGAAATCGATAGAGTGCGTGAAAACCGATCAGCTAATTACCCAGACAGAGCAAATTGGCAATCATTAGACCGTAAATACAACCCAAAGATGTAAGTGATTTCAATTGGTGCAGATAAGCTCACGCCCATCAAGAACATCAACATATTTTATTTTGCTTGCCTCGTTTAAACGTGTAGTGATGGTGATATACACCGAGAAAGCCAATAAGTGCTATTTTTACATGTATTTTGCACGCTGTTTGTCAACAAGTATCGTGGTGGCGTTTCAGGGATGGTACCGAACTACATCCTTATCATTATGGAGAGTTTTTCTGCTTATCATTAATGAGATCTTACTTTCGTTGTCCAATCCCAATATCTGGTCACATGGACTTGTGTAATACGGAACAGAACGAATGGTGATCAAGAACTCAACTTGAGCAGGTCACACGATGAGATAGAAGGAAACGCTCAGCTCGGTCTCATCGTCATTCGTGTACACAAAGCACGCATAACATTCGGATTAGCGGGTAGAGTTGCCATGGTAATGGGTGGAGTAGTAGTACAAGACAATGATGATTCATGCATAATTTGGTTGTTTTTTTAAATTCATCTAAGCAGCCTGCACAGGAGAAACGCGCACATCTAAAGCGCTCGGTTCGATTTGACTAGTCGATCTTTTGCCTTGCATATTCCACCTCGTGTCTCGGAATCGTGAACGGAACCGCATCTGCTGAGATGAGTCTGTTGTTTCCATAATCGAAGATAGGCAGGACGGTATCATATCAGACGATCAGCGTAGATACGATACAGGCCGACTGACAAGTGATCTGTTTGCATCAAACTAATTCTTTCTTGAATAGACACCAGTTTCATAATCCACTGGTTCACTGTATATCGTTTAATAACCATACTATCAAGTGGTCCAATCGTCAATACGGATATCACTGATTGTTGTTGTGTCGTTTTTAGTCTTATAGACGCAAACCCATACACAAAAAGAGCGATATGAAACCACATTCAATGTGAGATAATACATATTTTCAGGTCATTAAAAGTGCATCGCTTGGTGCATTATTTAGTGAAATTGGTGTTGGTCTGGGAACTGACCTCTTCTTCTTCTTCCCGGATGCTTCTGATTGTCTGTCACAGGTCTCGTGGTGATCACCACGTGAGAACACGTCCATTTCTGTGGGTGCACGCGTGTGTGCTTGTGTGTGTGTGCGCGTGTGTTTGTGCGCGTGATTGTTGACCCCATCGTGTTCCGCATACCGATGATCAAGATCACGATCGATAACGCACTCGCACGCACACACACGCACACATGACAATCATTACTGTCTTACAGAATACTGAAACATAGGCTCTACCTCCACTTGTGTTGTACAAATATGCATTTAACAAAAGGAGAATAAGTTAAAAAGATGAGAAGAACAGAAGAAAAATGTAATAATACAGTGTGGGTTTTTTTAACCCAAACAAACCAAATGGTTTGTTGTTGTGATACCATGTGTGAGATTCTTAGATGATTCATGCAAAATTGAATGGGATTGGTAAGCCTTTGAAATATTTATATTAAAGCACTTTAATATATTTACTTTGTAGATGAGAAAGCCCTATCTGAATGCGTCCTGGTGTGCATGTAGTCATTAGAATGCATGGTTGTACATCGTGTTCGCACCAGGCACCATGCTCAAACTGAGCGGTAGTTAATTCACTCGCAACACAGTTCAAACCTGTTTGTTTGCTGTGAGATCGGTCCGCTAAATCGGTCTCTCGTTTGACGACAGGACCTGGTGGGAATTTGTACGTTATTTGCGTTCTCCCCGCTCTCTTTCTGTCTGTCTGCGTATCGATGCTATTGTTGTTGCGGTTACAACTGTGCTTCTTCATATCAAAATACACACGCGACGGATCACGTATGACCTTGAACTTTTCAAGCTGCACTCTCTCAGTAAATCTCACGATCCAATCACACTGCGGGCAGATGGATGGGGGAGGGGTCCATGATTACGATTGAGCAGAGTTCGTTTACGTGTAACCAGTCCCTGTATTGATAGTGAGGTTCATCCGACACCACCACTGTTCACTAACGATCGATACGTGAGAAAAATGTGCCTCGCGTCTGATCGTTTGTCACATCACTTGTTCGTCTGAATTACTGACTGGGATAAACTCTGCATGCAGTCAAATTGAGTGGCTAAACATGTGGCAATCCGACAGTACTGATTTCCAATTGGATCCGGATGAATTGTCCTACTCGGAAAGTAGCTATCTCACATTCAGTAAGTCCTCATTGTGTCGCAGGAATACAACTTCTGTTTGGAATTTCACTTTGTATTCTTTACTCTATACTTTGGAGCACCACGGTTCACACAATCGATTTATTTCATCCACGTGGCATCACTACACAATCATTCACTGAATATTAAACTTCAGTGGATAATCTCGAACCAAACTATACACATATTTGTTGGATACCCTCGGGTTAAGTAGAGCAGAATCCCACCAGGCACGTCCTCGGGTTGCGGATAGGGAGATACCTTCACCGAGGAAGGTTAGCGCAGAGGTGTGCCCTCAAAATAAAAAAACGCCGAGTGACGCTGGGTACGTCTCTCATACTAAACTCCCAAGGAATTTCATGGTCATGATCATGTCTGGAGCCGGCTTATCCTTTCCAAGGAGCCAGCCGCAGTAAAGTAAGCAATACACATTTGTTTTATTCTATGATTTGTGGAAGCTGTGCCACACGCATCGTAGCCCGGTTTTCAGTGACGTCAAACGGACTGCTGACTGAAACAAAAGACCTTTCAAGTAGTCTCGGTAGATATGACCAATTCCAACAACCTGTTCGCAAGTTTTCTGATGAGACGAAATGACTGTAAGTACACGGACGCGCACGATACCTACAAGCGTTTACGGTCAAGCTCCCACCTCCCTGTGCGCTTCCCCTATGGGTCTACACCATCGATCTTGCTCTTCTTTTCCTAACCAGCTGTCGTTGGACGATCAAATGAGAATTCCTGTTGCTATCACAACTTCTCCTGAAGTTTGACCTCTCGACACAGTAACTTGTAGCTCTGTAATTACTGTAAATACACTACTGTTTTGTCAGGAAAGTGTGAAATATTTCACAGACAGCCCCATTTTGAATCCACACAGACTGCTAAACATGTTCCAGCACTCTATTAACTGATAAATCCCATACTTATAAGCCTTCACTGACAGTGAAATGTGCTAGGCTAACCTTTTCATTCTCTTAGTATCAAAAAATTTCCAGATTTGATGCGTGCATACACCACGTGATACGCATGACACCATCGATTTCAAACTAGGTTCTGTTCAGAATGCAAATCGGTTAAATCGCGTTTTGACAGCTCACCGTCTTGATCGTCGTTGGTTGGCCCCCTTGACAATGAAATTCCGGGGTGTTTGAAAAAAGTACAGCCACAGGGGCAGTAGTTAGTGACACGATCGATTCGGTATTGGCAACCAGATGGTACGAGCAATCAGAATTCACCGAAAACCGACAGCCTTATTGAAATTCTAACCAGGAGCCTGGGGTTGCTATTTACCTTGGTAATGAGAACTGTGAGATGACGGATTAGCGGGGGAGAACACTTCTGCTCGGTATGCAGTTTGATGTTTATCCGTTATAGCATTCGTTCCGTTTTATTGACTAGTGTCTTATAAGTGCATCTCAGTGTTACATCCAAAACCCTATCAGTTGGCGAGAGCAGCGAGAGCTTGTGTCCCGGCGAACTAAGCACATGTTGGCCTATTTAGGCCTATGAAAATTTCCAGAAAGTGAGAAATCACTTTTTTGAAAACCACTTTGGTCAGATTTCCAATCAATCAATCAATCAATCAACCAAGCGGATGAAAGCGATAGTAAACTATTTGCATACCTATGTACATGTGTGAATGTGTCTATACAAGCGTGTACGTGTGTACGCTTCAGCTGACAGGTACGCTGTTACTGCTGCTGCTGACGTTCCTTCTTGTTTCAGATCCAAAAGATCGATCTGCTACGAGTATATGATGAATGTAAATGTAGGGCGAGTAAGTAATCCAGTGATGGGTAGGTACATTGGTGTGCATGTGCGTGAGTGTGTGCGTGCTTGCGTGCGTGGCACCATTGTTGGCGTATGCGGTAATTTCACGCCAAACGCCATATGGCGCAAGTAAGCAAGCGAACGAGCACACACACACACACAGGCGAATCCGATCCTGTGCGGATCGATTTGTACCTGGTTCGCGAGCCGGTTGCTACTCCCCACAGTAACATTTTCCAAGTGCATGTACGAGCGAGTGTGTCGTGATCCCACTACTTCAATTACAATGACCACTACTACTAGGCAAACAGATGAGTGGGATAAACGAAAGTACAACCGTCGGCACATTGCACCGGCACACTATACAGACGAATGAGCAACACGTTATCATGAATTCATTTTGTATTTCTCTCCCTCTCTCTGTGTGTTTCTTACTTCATTACCTACTTTGCTCACCTACTAAGTCTGTGTGTTCACCGTGTGAGCGCTCACTAACATGGAAGGCGGTCAATACTTTGACACAATTATTGTTTGCAACGGTTCTGGCATTTGAACACGCAAACCGCAATGTCTAAAAGTGAAATTCCAAAATAATGACATCGTAGTACCTAGAGAGTTATTTGGGGAGAGATTTGTGATA